AGCTATTATGCATTGATACTCCCCTTTAGGGAAATAACACCACCATGTGTGTTGCCCTTTTCACTCATGCCATCTCAAGTTTGTTGTTGAGTCATTTTCAGTTGCATGTAGCTCTTCTGACCTCAGACACTTACTAGCTGTGTGACCCTGGGCAAGTCATTTAACCGTGTTTGTCCTAGTTTCCTCATCTGTAAATTGAACTGGAGAAGGAAATGGCAAACCATTCCAGTATCTTTGCCAAGAAAAACCCAAATGGAGTCATGAAGAGTTAGACACAACTGAACAACAACAACAATGCATCTTACTTAATATTGCAGGAAGAAGCTGAAACCAATCAGTGTTCAAGTATCCCTCCATAGGAGATGCCAACATTGTAAAAGTGGGGATAGTCTGGACTGTAATTCAGGGGCTCTTAACCTTTTTTGTCACATACCTCTTGGCAGTCTGAAGAACACTATGGATTTCTCATAAAATGCATTGGATTGCAAAGGAAACCAAACATTAGTTTAAAAAAAAAGAGAAGTGGGGGGCATGGTGAATAGAGCATCATCCATGGAGTCAGGAGGACCTGAGTTCAAATCCAGCCTCAGGCACTTAACACTTACCAGCTGTGTGACCCTGGGCAAGTCACGTAACCCCAATTGCCTCACCAAAAAGTAACTGAATAAATAAAATAAAACAAAAATTAAAAAGTGAATATTTTCTCACCCAAGTTCATGGACTCCACTGAAATCTACTTATTGATCCCTTGGGAGTCCATGAACCCCAGACTAAGAACCTCTCTATTGGATAACCTTCAAGGACCCTTCCATTTTAAGATTCTTGGATTCAGAGCTATCTCCAGCTAACCTCCACAGAAATAGACTCATAGGGACATCTTGGGATAAATGAGTACTAAAGACTTTGTCATTATATCAACATAGGGTAGTAACCATCTTTAAGGATGATTTGTTATTATTAATAATAATAGTAATAGTATTTGTATGTGCTTTAATGTTTTGTTGTGAGGATAAAATTAGATAACAGTTGTAATGTGCTTAGCAAGTCCTGACACATAGTAAGCACTATATAAATGTTAGGTATTATTTAATTATCTCAGTTTATTCTCACAACAACCCTAGGAGATAGATGCTATGATTCCCATTTTATAGAAGAGGAGGCTGAGGCAGATAGAAGTTAAGTAGCTTGTCTAGGGTCAAAATGGTAGTGTCTATACTGATTTGAACTCAGTTTTTCCTGATTCCAAATCCAATGCCCTACTCCACTACCCTATGAATCTATGATCTAATTAACATGAGCATTCTAACTGTTTAGACCATTTCTCACCTGTGCCTTCTCATCCTGTTTAATTCTAGTCAATGTCTTTCCTCGGAGTAGATCTCCCCAGAACTCTGAAGGCCTGGGTTGAGCTCTTTTAATGAATTAATATTTGATAGGCATCTTGCAAATCTTAAAGTACTATATAAATGTTCCTATTGTTGTAGTATTTTATGGACACTAGTGATATTCATCTATATTCATCTAATTTTCCTCTCTTGCTACACAACTACTCTACCACCTTTTCCCATCATTTATCAGACTTTTTACTACTTCTCCCATATAAATAATCATTGATAGTATACTACACTACCTATACCCTCCATGTATCTTAAAACAATGTACCTGTCTTTTGAATTTCCACTATTCTTCATCCTATATCACCCTAAACCACTGTACACTATATCCAGAATCGATGTTGTTAGAGACCCGAACAAGAAGTAAATAAAGCAATATAGGTTCTATAACTTACATAGTTATAGAAATGGGGGAATTAGCAGGTCTACAGAAATGGTTAAATAGAAGACAAAGAGATCTCCTTTTTTATTTACTAAGGGGCCTAGTGGATAAAGAATATGATCCTGGGAAATGAACGTATGTTCATTTTAATAGGGTTGCATTATGTCTGAATGTTTGGCTGGGAATTGTGTTAATATACGCAATACCACTGCCACCCCTACAATGCTCCACTCCTTCATACACACCTCCTCCCTGTCTCATTATCTTTACCTTCGAGGGGTTGAGGATATGAGACCCATGATTTCCGTCCTGATATATGCAAGCACTTCTGAAGAACAGGGATGACATTAACTGAATTCATGAATTAAGTAAATTTTTACTCATATTATATACTAGGAGTCCATTCCTTCTTATCTGGGCCTCACCCTCTTCCTCTATATCAGCAGTTCACAAAGGGTGTTCTGCAGATCCTTAGGGGTACCCAAGACTCTTTAAGGGGGTCTGCAAGGTAAAAATTATTTCTATAATAATACTAAGATGTTACTTATATAACCCTCATAAACAAATGTTCCTCAGTAATTTTTAGGAGTATAAAGGAATCCTGAGACCAAAAAGTTTGAGAACCACTGACCTGCATGATCATCCTCTGTAGGCCTGCATACTTCATAGAGATTTTATCAACTTATTTTCGAGTCTAGATAAAGGTGCTTCAGCCTTGACTTCCTCTCCCTACCCTACATCCTCCCCTAGATCTCTTATTCTTTATTATAGAGAACTATTGCCTATATTTAAAGACCTTCCCTTCCTAGAGGAGAGAGGAACAATGAGAGAAAAAAGGCTGGATGGAGACTAGCCAGTGCTTGCTTGCTTTTTGCCTCTGCTGATACTTGCCACAGTTCCACTACTGAGCAAAAAAATGGAAATGGTAGGGGTGGAATGTCCAACCCTGCTCAAGATGCAATTTTCAGGCACCTGACTGAACCTGTTTCTAATAATGATGATAATAGTAATGATTATGTACCACTTTATAGATTTCCTGGTATTTTATATGCATGATGTCATTTGATCCCCACAACCTTGTGAAATAGGTAGTACAAATATTATAGTCCTCATATTAAAGCTAAGGTAGCGTGGGCCATAGGCAAAACTGGCAAGTAGTTTTGGCCTCTTTCTATAGCTGCCTTTGGTGTTCCTCCCTCTTTGCAAAGGCATATAACTCCTTCTCCCCCTTTAAGGTTATGTCTGATAATGGCACTTTAGAGCTAGAAGAGACTTTTTGTGGTTTAGAAAACTGAGGTCTAAAGAGCAGAGATGACTTGCTAAAAGTTCTTAGGAATAAATTAGTGCCTGACCTGGGACTAAGAACTCAGGTCTCCTTTATCTCATTCTAGAGTTCTTTCTCTACACCATTGAGTCTTTCCAATTCAGGGATTCTTAACCATTTTGGGGTTTCCCTCCCCTGTAACAAATCTATATATATATATGTTCTAAGAGAAGAACCATACCATGAGGATTCTGTTTAATGTGCTAAGGTGCATGAATTGCATAACTCAGTTCTGTGAGTTAACATGAATAAAATATCTGGTATGTCAGTCTTAATCACATAGGCCAGAAGTGGCAAACATGTGGCAGATGGCATTGGGGCTGAACCAGATTAAAATTGGGGAATGTTTAACAAAATAAATAAAAATACAGTAGAACATAATGCTAATATATGGTTTTCTAAGTCAATCTGTGGTCCACAGGGATCCTTATGGACGGCGAGTGGCTCCTGTTTCTATCTGACACCATTGATCTAGATACATATTCCATAGCTAATATATTAATTTTTTCTAGAGAAATAAAAATAATTATAGCAGTGAGATGTTTTCATAAATATGATATAATAAATACATATTTCAATCAGAAAACCAAGGTTCAAATTCCATCTCTTGCTCACTGCCTGGGTGACCCAGGGCACTCACTTGACCTCTCTCCTCTCAGTTGTCTCATCTGCAAAATGAGAGGGTTGAAAGATACAGCCTCTAAGTTCCCTTCTACTCCTAAATCCATGAGTTTGTGAATATCTCTTCTATGAGCCAAGACTGGTCTTTTGGAAGCAAAGATTACTTCATTCCATATTATCTGAGTTTAAAGGACATAGCTTACCTTTCTGTTAACAACCAACAAACTAGCTTTTTTTTTTTGCAAGTAGTAAATTGTGCCTAAAGATTTTGGAGGGAAGTGTGTGCTATATCAAAAGTGATTAAATAAATTTAATTTTTTAAAAAAAACAAACATTACATGTTGGGAAAAGTGGTATAAACAGCCTAGCAAACTGTGCTGCATTCTCATTGTTTAATTCCTTAATATTTATATAGAATTTTATGATGCTTTCACAATAATTATGAGAAAGCAGTATGGTTTAATGAAAAGGATACTAGATTTGTATTTGGAATCTTAGGATCGCCTTATCATAGATTTAGAGTTGCAAGAGATCTTTAATAAACACACTCTTTTCCCCCATTTGACAGCTGAGAAAATGAGAGAAGCTAAGTGACTTATCCCAGGTCACACAGGTAGCAGTAAAAATTTGAACTCAGATCTTCCTATTCCAAAATCCCTTACTCTTTCCACTGTACCGCACACACTGCCTCCTGAAATTATAAGGACCTAGTTCCTAGCTCTGCTACATTTTAATTGTGTGACCTTTAACAAGTCATTTAATCTTTTGGGATTTTAGTTCCCTCATCTCTAAAATTAAGAGGTTGGACTGAATAACCTTTGAGCTCTAAATATAGGATGTGATAAACTCCAAAATGGGAAAATTGCATTAGATGATCTGTAAGGTTTCTTTCAACTCTAAATCCTATTTTCTCAGATGTAGCTTACCATTAACTTTATGTTATGGCTAAATATGACTGCCTCTATTTTACAGATGAGGAAACTGATGCTCAAAGAGGTTAAGTGACTTGAAGTCACATAGCTGGTGACAAAGCCAGGAATGGAAGCCAGATGCCTCCATACCTAGCATAACCAAATAATGCAGTCCCTAACAGAATAAAATATATGTGATGCTACATAGTCTGTGATGAAAACTTTCCATCCAAACTGTTCTAATCCTTCCAGGATATGTTTAGAATGACATTACTAATGACCTAGGTGCTCTCTTCCATTGAACAATCAGCTACTTAGTGATTTGTGAAGTCTTTTAACTTATATCTATGGGGTATGTGCTGTTTTAGGTACTCCTTCCAAGATGAGGAGGACATGTTCATGGTGGTAGATCTCCTGCTGGGTGGCGATCTGCGTTATCACCTGCAACAAAATGTCCGCTTCCAAGAAGACACAGTGAAACTCTTCATCTGTGAGCTCTCCATGGCACTGGACTACCTCCAGAATCAACGCATCATCCATAGGTCAGTTGTGGGCATGGGTTTTGGGACTTATTTCAGGAAGGTGACATTCAGAGTTAGGAGGATCTGAGTATTGAGTTTGAATATCTACTAAGAGGCCATAGGATACGTGATGTTGGTGAGATACTATACCAAGCTCAGCAATCATATTATCCTACATGCCTTTCTACTGGGACTTAGCAATGTCAATGAATGCCACTGGCAGGCCTAAGGAACAGAGAAAAAAGAAGTAAAGAAAGGAAAAGAAAAAATAGAGTGGAAAAAGGAAAGGGCATTCTTTAAAAAAAAAAGAATACCAATGAAAAATTATTCTAAAATTAAAGTATAGTCAGTATTTCATTTTTGTAAAAGAGACAGATAGAGAAATGGGGGGGAGAGAGAGATGAAGGGGGAGAGAGACAAATTTATAAAATTTTACAAAATACATTTTCAAGTTTTTGGAAAACAGATTAATCTGTATTTCATTTTGATAAAGAAGAGAGAGGAAAGAAAAAAGAATAGAGGAAGGGGACAAAGGAGGAGAAAAGAAATTTTAAGTTTTAAAAATACAGTTTATGAGTTACTCTAAAACAGAAGAGTTTAATCTGTATTTTATATTGATACAGGGAAAAGGGTAGAGAGAGAGGACAAAGGAGGAAAGAAAAATAAAAAGGTTTGTTAAGTCAGGGAGGGGTAGAATGCTATCAGTGTTTTGAAGTGGCTACTTAAGTTAATCACTCATGCTTTATGCTATACAAATAAGCACAGGACAGGCAAGTCACATACTTTTATCCCACTAATGATCCCAAACTAGTGTAGAAAAAAAATAGACTATTAAGCACAATTAGCTAAGGATCTAATGATATTAATAGCTCATTTATCTAGTGCTTTACCTGCATTCTCATTTGATCCTTACAATAGGCTGATGGGGTAGGGCTAACAATTATTATTATCCCCATTTTGCAAATGAAAAACCTGAAGACCCGAGACTAAGAAACGTATCCATTATCTCACAGCTACTAAGTTCTGAAATAGGATTGACACTCACTTCTCAGCCTGACTGTAGAGACAGTACCACACACTGCTTCTCCTAAAAAGTACTGAAATGAGTGCGTCATGTTGGAGAACATTAGTAGCTACATCATTTAGTAAGGGAAGTCCACAAATATGACGCCTTTGCTTTGATCATGTAGCATTTGGTTGAAGAGTGTTTAAGAATAATTTCTTTATCTCTTGTGGCCACCATTTTTCCTTTTAGACAATTGTAAAACTGTGGCTTGACTACTTAAATAAAGTCAACAAAGGGCCCAGAATACTTAAATTAGTACATGTTATCATTTCCAGACCACACTGATTTTATTCCCATATAGAAAACCCCAGCCCTAAGAAATGGAGGCTTGCACTAAGAAATGGAGGCTTGCACATTTGCTAAGTTAATCGGTAGCAAAATGCGACTGAGAAAAGGCAACACTGTTATTTCTTACAACAATTCTGTGAAGTAGTTGCAGTGTTATAATACTCATATGATAGATGGAGGAAACTGAGGCAGACAGGAGATTAAATAACTTGCCCACAGTCACACAGGTACTGAGTGGCTGAGGCAGTTCTCAAACCCAGGCCACCTGACTCTCTCTCTAACCAATCCTCTTTCCACTAGTCTTTATTACTTTTCACCTTGGGAAATAGGAACTTTCATGCCTGGTATTGTCACAGTAGCTGGCTATGTTTCTTCTGAATAGCAGTAGCTGGTTGAAAAACATTCTTTTTGTCAGAAAAGTCCTTTTAATCTCATAGAGTTTGCCCCCACTGTCTTTTCTCTCATTCATCATCCCAAGAAAATTGCCAACTACCTTCAGGAGTTTTGGTTGCTGACAATGTAGAAATCAGGAAGGATAAGTCATTGTGTGAAGCTGGCAGTGCCTCAAAACACCTTTTAAATCTTTTCTTTTCTTTTCTTTATAACACGGAACCTATTTTCATTTAGGTTCCATGCACATTCTCTCTCTCTCTCTCTCTCTCTCCCCCCCTTTCTGTATACACACACACACACACATACACATACACCGACACATACATATATACACACATATGTACATATATACACACACATCTATGTATATATGTATCATGTGTGTATGTCCCTGACTTGGTTTCATTCTGTCCCTTTTTATCCCCCATCCCTCATATACCCCTGATCCTTTAACCCAGGCTGTTAATGGGTCAGAATGAGAGCCCAGTCCCAAGCCTTTGCACTGGCTGTCCCCCACCACTGGAGTGCTCTGCCCTGTCACCTTTGTCTCCTAGTTTCACTGGCATCCTTTAAGTCTCAGCTCAAATCCCACCTTTTACAGGAGCCCTTTCCTGGTGCCTTTCCTTCATCTACACTGTATATATCTTGCATATACCTAGTTATTCACATGTTCTGTCCCCCATTACAATATAAACTTTTTGAGGGAAGGGACTATTTTTGCCTTTCTTTATATGTATGGCTCTTATCAAAGTGCCTGACTTAATACTTGTTGACTACAGAAACAAAGGAGTATAGTTGGTGTTTTAAATCTTCATCCCTTCTCCATCCTTCATCCTATCAAAATTGTTGCTAATTTCCAACCCATTTGTATTGAACTTTCTCCCAATGAAATACTTCATGCCTTTGGCTTGTGTGAGCAGACCTTTCTGCTAGGAACTATGGGGCAGGTATGAAGAAAGGGGCCTGTCTATGGCCCCTGTCCTCAAGGAGCTTATGGTGCAGTACAGTAAGAGTAGGTTCCATTATCTGAGGTTGTGTATTTAATAAGTTGATCTGGGTTCTAGTTCCAGCTTTGCCACTGTCTTGCTGTGTGATCTTAGGCAAGTCATAAAATTTCTCAGCATTTTATTTTGATCATTTGTGAAATGTAAGGGTTGATCCCTTCAAAGTCCTCATCTAGTTCTAAATCCTATCAGTTATATGTGGGAGAAAAGTTAAATGAATTGAAAGGTATATAGGGCCCACTAAACTGTACATAAGGATGCCTGTGGGTCACATAATGACTTGGAAAACCACACATGTTTGTATATTTCTTTTTTTAATTAGTAAATCTACCCATTAAAATAAAATGGAAACTATGTTTTAATCTGCTTCTGGCTGCACTTCCAAGTGTTGTGAGCCACCTATTTGACACTTCTGCTATAGGAATTCTGAAAAGAAAGAGATAAATTACGATTAGAGGAGTAGTAAAAGTGGCATATCATAGTAGAAAGAGGTTTGAGAATCAGAAGGCTTAGGATCTCATCCTATTTCTGCCGCTTACTGGCTGTATGACCCTGGTCCAATAATTTTATTTCTTTGGAACTCAGTTTTCTCATCTTGTAAAATGGCAAAGTTGGAACAGATGTTCTCTAAAGTACCTTCAAGCTTTAATATCCTCCATTTTATGTGAGGTAAAACTCAATAGAAGTACATTCCTCAAATCCCGATCTTTCCTTTCTTTAGTCTTTCTGAGGGCCATGGTGAAGGGTAATAACCACTAAGTTCTGAATTTTTCTGTTCTATATTATTGTGAAATTCTTGTTCTTGCTTCTTGCTTCAAGATGTCCATTAAGTCAAAACATTTCCAGGTTGCTCTTTAATAAGTGTTGAAGAACAGCATGAATTTCCAATGTTTCCACCTGGACTTTCCCTTTTTTTCTACTTTAATTCAAGTAATGAAGGTGAAAATTTTAGAAAAAGTATTTATTTGCTTTCACACACACACACACACACAAAACCCAACCCTTAAGAATAACAAAACTAATTACAATCACTCCTTTGACAGTACTCCTTGCCTGGTATGCAGATCACAGTGATCTCTCTGAAAAATGATTTTGGGGAAAACTAATTACCACAGTTAAACACTAATGGACAAATTTCTATTAGTGTCTTCATGTCCAATTTTGAGGAAACTCAATAAGTAATTTGGATATATGGGATAAATTGTCAAACATTGTTAAGTGATGAGTCATCTTGTATCAAAGTCACATCTCAATGGATGTTTGATACTTTCTTCCTCTCCAAGATACACTAGACACTAATAAAGTTGTAACTTTTTGTTTTTTCAATTCTTGTATGAACAATAAAATTTTATTAGGCAATTTATGTAAATAATTATAACAAGTGGCAACACTGTAGAAAGTTCATTTAAAATTGAAACAAAAAAAAAAGAAATAGAACTGGAAAGTTTGAAGAAATAGAGTTAGTAACTTTAAAAAAAAAAAGAGTTTTCTGCCTTTTATATCACCCTTTTCTTCCCTGCAGCACTAAGATTGTGCTCATGGTGTTGTCACATTAACTCTGTCTAGGTTTTCTGAATGACACAAATAATGCCTCCTTCTGAGTGAGAAGAGAAATAGACCTCCATCCTCTTCTGTATGAGTCTCCTGGAAGAGTTCTGACATGGGCAGCCACTGGAAAGTTATTTGACTATTAAACTCGCTCTCTCACTAGCTCTATGATACCACAGAAGAACCCTTCATAGGGACCCCAGAACCCTGAAATGATGCAGTTCAATGTTTGAACTATAGCTGTGGGAGAGGATAAGGGATAGTGATCAAACCAGTGATTCCTTTGGTATAGAAAACTCCCAGGTTGGAAAACTTGCTCTAAATGCACATCAGCACTTTCTCTACAACTTATTGATGCCAATGCAAATTGGCACCTTCTCTGGAATTTATAGTCTTAGAGAATTGCTTAGAGCACTGAGAGGTTGAGTGTGTGGACTTGGTTGGCTAGAAAGACTCTTTATTGTTGCAGGATTAGTAAATTAATTAAGTGGGATCTAATTTGTTATTTTATGATGACAGATGATTATTAGTTAGCTTAAGATAAGGCACTTTATATTCTTCTCCTTCCCCTTTGGATATTTGTTTCCCTTATTTTGCCCAGGCTGGAAGTGAACAGCCCCTCCTAGGCCAAGCCCTACTACTGATTGGCACAGAAGCTTTGGCAGCCTGGTGACCCTCTGCTCCTAGGGTCACATGAACTTAGGTCTTCTTGGGTTAAAGTC